GTAATCTGTAATCAACCTGCAAAGTCCTTTTTTCCCCCCTATATGGTCACATTCATAGATTTTGGGGTGCTTCGGATTGAATTGTGTCCTCCAAAGTCCATGTATTATTAGAAACTTAACCCCCACTGGGCCAGTGCTAAGAGAGTGGGAGATCCTATTACAGTTATTGAAAGGTGGGGCCTTGAAGATGTGATTAGATTGTAGGACCGTGCCATAGTGAATGGACTAAAAATGGTGGTCAGGGGTGTGGTTCTGAGGGCTTTAAAAGGAGAGCACATGAGGAACTCTTTCTCTTGCTGCGCCATCTGCCAAGTGACACCCTACGTCACTGAACAGAGTCAACAACAAGAGCAAAAGTCTCACCAGATGTGCTCCCAGGACTTTGGACTTCCCAGCCTCTGAAATTGTAAGCAATATATTTCACTTCTTACAAATCACCCAGTTCCAGGTATTTTGTTGTAAGCAACAGAAATGGACTAATACAGGAAACTGCTACCAGAGAAGTAGGGTGTTGCTTATAACAAATACTTGAAAATGTGGAAGTGGCTTTGGAACTGGGTGTTGAGGAGGGGCTGGAGGAATTTGGAGGTACAGACTAGGAAAAGCCTCACTCTGGTGGGAGTTTAGAAGAGAAGAAAACCAAGGAAAGTGTGGAACTTCATAGAGATGGTTACATGGTGGCGAGCAGAATGCTGATAGAAATATGGACTATAAAGGCCATTCTAAGGAGGTCTCAGACAGAAATAAGAAGGAGCTTATTGCAAATTGGGGCAAAGATCACCTAACTGGCAAGGAACATGGCTGCATTCTGTTCATACCCAAAAGTCTTATGAAATGTGGAACTCAAAGGTGCTGAACCAGGATATTTGGTGGAAGAAATTCCTAAGTAGCAAAGCATTCAGGAAGCTGCACGACTACTTGCAACAGCCTACACTGAGTTATGGCAGAAAAGACATGAGGTAAGGACTGAACTTAAAAGGGAAGCAGAATGTAAAGATTTGGAAAATGTGTAGCCTGTCCATGTGGTAGAGAAGCAGAGAGCATTTTCAGGAGAATAATTCAAGGGTGCAGCCCAGCAACCGTTTGCTAAGGAGATGAGTGCAGAAGGAAGGGATTATCTATAGAAGGGAAAAAAAGACCTTTGTGGCATTGCAGAGATCTTGAAGGCTGCCCTTTGCATCACAGCCCCAGAGGCCTAGGAAGACAGAATGGTCTTGGGGAACAGGCCTGAGGTGCCCTCCATGGGCTCGCTGCTCAGGGCTACCTCAAGATGCTCCCCAGCTGCCCCAGCTATGGCTAAATTGGCCCAAGGTATGGCTGGACCTGCAGCTTTGGAAAATATGTCAGAAGCCTTGGTGGCATCCATGTGATATTAGGTTTGCAGGCTGGCAATGTGCCAGAGCCTCCACCCCCATTTCAAAGGATGTATGGAAAAGCCTGGGGACCCATAGTGAGATCTGTCATAGGGGTGGAGTCACTGCAGACAACTTTCACTAGAGCAATGCCAAGCAGAAACGTGGGGTCAGAGTTGGAGCAGAGACACCCCCACCAGTGCCATGCCTAGTGGAGCCGTGAGAGCAGGATCACCATGGAGACCCCAGAATTGTGGAGCTACCAGCATGCAACGCCAGCCTGGAAGAGCTGAAGCATCTCCTGAGACCAGGAAAGCCATAGGAGTGGAGCTGCCCCAGGACCCAACCCGCACACCAACATGCAGAGGACATTGAACATGGAGTCAAGGTACATGATTCGCCAGCTTTGAGATTCAATGCCTGCCCTGCGGGGTTCCTGACTTGCATGGGA